TTGTTTTCTCCTCCAGATTGTTCATCCAGCCTATCTTATTTAGACAGACATAGGGAGATAATAACATGCACAAACAAGACAGAGAACAACCAAGCAACAAAAGAAAAGAAAGCAAAACAACAACAGCAAAAGCCAATGACAAAACAAAAACACAACAACAACCAAAAAAGAAAAGCCTGTAGTTAGTTCAAGGACTGTTTGTTGGCCTTTAGGAGTGTTTTTTGGTTGAGTCTGATGTGATGCCAAGCCCTGGCCCCAAAGTCTATTTTTGGTATTCCCTGGGGACTTCGTTGCTCTGTTTCCCTTGCTGTTCTGTTGCATGCCCTTAGTGTTTTGCCTCGTTGTGGTAGGATCAGATCAGGCGCAATTCCCACACCGTGTCTCCAGTGTTGTCCCCTGTAAGGCTATGGGTCAGTGCTGTGAGGGATGTTATGTCTCACAGTGGGGCCGGCCATATGGTCTTCTCTGTGGATTGGATGCTCTGAGTGGGAATATCATCTTCAAGGCTCGGTGGGCCTCTGTTGCGGTGAATCCACCACCTGGCTCCCTTTTGCACACACTACATGGATCCTGCATTTCAACACCTCTGTTACAAAGCTAACACATACTGACAGAGTCGCTGATACCTAGCATGGCCTATTACAGCTGAAAACAGGACAGAAAAAAATCCTCCACCCTCACGGAATCGGTCATCCAATATAAGAGATGAACAATCAATCAATCAATCAATCAATAGATAAGCTATTTCTCTGTGTTAAATGCTATGAAGAATCAACAAGAGTGTGTTAAGATGCCTGGTGGCTGAGGGTCCGTGTGGTCCGGGGCCCCAACCAGGTTAGTTCTGAGCTCAGAACTAAACAGTGGAGCGGAACCCTCTAGGCACAAAGGTGACACAGGAGCACTGGCAATCCACCAGTTGCCATGAAGTCAATTCCAACTCGGGGTGGCCCTTCCTGGTGTGCCAGAGCAGAACTGTGCCCCAGGGAGATTTTGGTGGCTGACTTTTCAGAGGTAGATCAGGGGGCTCTTTTCCTGAGACACTTCTGGGTCAGTTTGAACCTCCAGCCTGTCAGTTAGCAACCGAGGGCGTTTACTGTGCCACCGCCCAGGGTCTCTAGGCCAAGGTCGGCCTAGAGTGCGAAGACAGTCCAGTGGGAGCAACCTTAATGGGGTCAGGAGCACAAAGCAGACTCCTGAGACGGGGGTCATGAGGAGAGGGGGAGCCGGGGGAGGTGAGGTTGCTGAAGTGCCAGTGATCAAATCGCCGAGGGCTCTGAGGAGCAATGTAAAGACTCTAGAGTTCCTTCCTAAAGAATCGGGAAGCCAGTGGGGACTCTTTCCACAGGAGTGTTAAAAAAAAAAAATCCCAGAGAAAAAGTTGTCAAATTGAACTTCAGCAAAATTAAAAATCTCTGCTCTGCTCATGTGAAGACATTATTAAGAATATGAAGGAGGGTGGCGCCAGGTGGGCGGAAGGCAGTGGGGGATAGTGGGTGTGGGTATGGGTGTGTGCGGGTGGTCTGCTGACTGGGTAAATGGGGAAAACAAAGCTTTGACATCAGAATTTTTTTTTTTAACTCCAAAAAGCTAACAGTGAAAAGGCAACCCAAACTCAAATCACGCTCCCAACCCAGAGGGGCCGAAAAACGTGACTAGATACTTCACAAAAGAAGATTTACAAAGTGCCAAGAGGCTAGTGAAAAGACTCTCTAGACATCATGGAATTGGAAGTTAAAACCTGTATGAGATACTGTTCACACCCCCAAGAATAGCTGAGAGGAGCAGTGGTGTAAGCATTGGTCTACTAACCTCAAGGTGGGCAGTTCAGACCCACCGGCCATGAAAGACGAGGCTGTCTGCTCCTACAAGGATCTAGCGCCTTGGAAACCAGAAGGAGCCGTCCCACTCTGCCCAACAGAGTCGCTGTGAGCCAGAATTAACCTGACGGCATTGCATATAGAACAGTTGAAGACCCCCCTTGTTGGTACAAATAGTTAATTCAATCAGCTGTGTGTTCATCTGGGTAGACTAGAGAAACAAATTCATAGACACTCATGTGTATAAGAAGGAGCTTTATATACAAGAGCAATTGAATAGTGAGAAAACATCCCAGCCCAGTCCAGATCAAGTCCATAAGTCTGATATTAGCCCGTATGTCCGATACCCATCTTTGAAGTCCTCTTCAGCACATGCAATGACACCACATCCCAGCCCAGTCCAGATCAAGACCATAAGTCTGATATTAGCCCGTATGTCCGATACCCATCTATGAAGTCCTCTTCAGCACATGCAATGACACCGAATGCAGGAAGATCACAGACCAGTGGGTGGAAAGTCTTGTGGATCCAGTGACATTGTAAGCATTTCAGCGCTGGCAGTGGTCTCCAGGTAGCTTCTCTGGCTCCAGAGGTCTAGTGTAGTTCCACGCGTCTTGTCAGTAGAGCATCTTTCAGGGAGTCAGCCTAGAGAGAAAAGGTCTCCCGCCTCCAAGAAGGAAAGATAGGAGTTCCTAGAATCCTCAGGAGAAGGCCATGCCCACACAGAGGTCTCATTGGCTATCTCCCGATTGACAGGCTAGACTCCACCCCACACTCCAAATCCTCAAATTGACACCAGATTCTGTAGCAACCACAAGCTGCTAGCCAAAAGCGCTGCCACTTGAATCTGACAAAAGGCAACTGGGAGGAAAGGCCTGGCCATCTACTTCTGAAAAATCAGCCACTGAGCCCCACCTGGACTGCAGTTCTCTGACACGTGACGCCGTCATGAATTGCAGTCAACCTGACAGCCACTGGTTTTGCTTTCAAGACTTGCCGAAAACAAAAGACCGACAATACCAAGTCTAGGTGAAAATGTGAATTCACCAAAACGCTGATCCTTGGCTAGAGACTGTGTAAAATAGTGTAGCCACTTTGGGAAATTAATAGGCAGCTTCCAGTTTATGAAGGCATTTACCCTTTCGCCCTCCAACATGGAAACATGTTCACAGAAAGACTTGGAAAAGAATGTGTATGGTGGCCTAATGCATAATTGCCACTGCCAGGATGGATTAAACAGATTGGGCTGTCTTCCTACCATGTGCATTATTCAGAAATAAAAGAGAATGATCCTTAGTACAATGGTCTGTACGAATCTCAAAATATTGCATGAAGCAAAAGAAGTCAAACACGGAGTACATGTTGCGTGAGAGTGAAGACGCAGAACAACCAAACTCCCTGCCATTGAACCCATGTTGACTCGATTCATAGGGACCCTATGGGACAGGTAGAACCACGCCTGTGGGTTTGTGAAACGGTCACTCTTGCCAGGAGTAGAAAGCCCCATCTTTCTCCCAAGGAGCTGCTTGTGGCTTCCAACTGCTGACCTTGAGGATTGCAGCCCAATTCATAACCACTAGGCCACCAGGAAACCGCCTGTATACTGAATGCCAGGAGGGAATTTCTCCGGATGAAGCAGCAGGAAGCTTTGGGGGATAATAAGAAGATTCAATGTCTTGCTTTGGTTCATGGTCTTGTAAGTATGTATAATGTTGGAACTTCATCAAACTCTAGACCTGCGATGTAAGCATCTTATTGTCTATGGATTATGTTGTGAATGCCATTGAGTTGGTGCTGGCCAGCCCTGCACCATCCTCGAAAATGTAATTAAATGTGAGCCCGTTGTCGCAGCCCCTGTGTCCACAGTCAATCCAATGGAGGCATTTCCTCCAACACGGTGTCCTTTCCAGAGACCCGTCTCTCCTGAAAGCACGTCCAAGGTACAGGAGACGAAGCCTGGCCACCCTCATTTCCAAGGAGCCTCTGGCTGTGCCTGACTTCTCTTATGAATTCTGCCTTGACCAAAGGTAAATAAAACGGAAAGAATGACCCATGGTGGCCTACCCTAAATACTCCGTGTCTTTGCGAAAAGTGGCAGAGCGGAAAGAATTATACGTGGGGTCCGATATATGTAGGTTCCAAAAATACAGGAAGGCCCGCGTCATGCAAGTCACATAGCCTCCTTCCGTTTCCACCTCGGCAAATAAAACTATCCGATTCACAAGATGGCAATCAGCACTGAATGAAAGATTGTTTACCAAGTAACTGACCTCGTACCTATCACCTGGTGTGTTCCAAAGAAACTTCGCTACATTATATAGGCATACAGAAAATACACTGCAATCTCCAGAGTTCAACTCGCAGTGCATGTTTCTGCCCTGCTTTGAGAATGATGCCGTCGTAACTTCAGCCAGAAATGGGAAAATCAGAAGGGGAAGCTGAACAGAACCCGGGAAAGAAACCCCTCTGTGGGGGCGCCTGTGGACACAGGTGGTAGCTGTCATTTACTGGTGATCATTATAGGAAACTCTGGCACCTTCGGTGATCATACACAAATCTGTCATCATCGTGTCCGACTTCATCTTTTACCAGTGTCAGAGGGGGACGGGAAAAGGCATTTGGAAGCCCCCACCCCCACCCCTTCCTCGCCGCGCACAAGTCCACGGAGCTGTACTTACTGGAGGTGGCCGGCCTCTGCCTTCCTAAAGGAGACGCGCATTTGTATCTTTCCAGATGTCTCCGTGACAAATCACGTGGGCCGCTTCAGGTCTGATGTAAAGCTTAGGATTCAGAATTCATGGAGAAGTAAGAACGGGGTGGAAATACACCCTTCGCCTCGAGGCCGAAGCCTTGAGTCCTGGTCTCCAGTCCTCTGACTTAATCTCCTCTCGTGTCTCTACCTGGTCCGCTTCGGAGGACCCCAATCCTTTGTGACACCCTTGGAGAGGCCCTCTTCTCTGTCCTCTTGCGTCACAGGGGCTTCTCCGGCAGATCCAGCTGGCCTACAATAGCCCCTCTCCCCAGGTCGGGGGCCAGGGCCACCTGTTGCCTGCCATTGCCACCAGTTAGTACAATAAGCGAGGGGAGGGAAAATGAAATGTCCACCCCTACCGTGCACTCTGAGCGAGCCTCCTCTCTGTGTGCGACTTGAACCAGACGGCAGCTACCCGGAAAACAGCTTCTGCTGGTCTTCAGCGGGGTCGTCTCCAGCCTGTCGTCCCTGCCCACCGGGGCTCTCCTTACCTGGCCTTTCCTTTCTGCAGAGCCTTCCTGGAAGCCTGGCAACTGGACACATTGCTCTGCTACCTGTGGCCACTTGGGAACCAGCCTCCAGAGACCCCGGTGTGTGGCGGCGGACGGGCGGGAAGTGAGCCAGGCCCTTTGTGATCATCTCCCCAAGCCACGGGCTGGATTTCGGCGCTGTAACGTCCGGGACTGCCCCGCCAGGTATGAACTGTCACTCGTCTTACCTCGTCAGGACCAAGCTCCTCCTTGGTTTAAAAGGTGCACAGGCACTTGAGCCTCCTGATAAAATAGCTAAGATTTATTTAGCACTTACTCTGTAGCAGTCATTCAGCGAAACTCCTTAAAGCTTCACTTCACAATGACCTCCTATAAGACCCATGCTATCTTATTTCACTGGTGGGAACACTGCCCTAGCTGAACAGAAGCCAGAAGTCCAGGCTGACTTGACAGTCCCTGCTCTGAGTACCTGCTCCAATCGACTTCCTGTACTCACAGTGCTGTGAGCCCCTGGAGCGTGGCTCTTAGCTGCTGCCGTCACCTTGGCCCAACTCTTGGAAATAAAACTAAATGCCTCCTGGCCCTGCACCAGCCTATGACCGGTTGTATATCAGACCATTGTGGTTCTATGTTCTCGACCCAAGTAGACCTCCAGCCCACCTGTCTAGCCTGCCTCAGTGTGGAAAAAGTTTTATAGCCAAGAGCTTTATAGCAGCACGCAGCTCACCACTGCCAGGAATGGAACGATGGTGCCCTGCATGGCAGTGACAAATTCGACCACTGAGCCATCACTGCTTCATCTTGAGAGGCTGAGCTCAGAGGTGTACCTAGGAGACGATGTGGTAAGTCAGAATCGCCAGGGCTACTTGTTAAAACACAGGTCACCATTAAACTCATGAGCTCCACCTAGCCTGGTCTGGTTACCTTGCCTTCAAAAACAAAGCCAACCACCACCAACACCTACACCTACCTCATTGCATCTAGTCGATTACTGCTCATAGCGACCACCCTCTAGGACAAGGTAGACCTGCCCCTGTGGGTTTCTGAGACTATAACTTTATGGGAGCAGAAAGTCTCATCTTTCTCCCATGGAGCAGCTGGTGGTTTCAAACTGCGGACCCTTTGGTTAACCGCCCAAGGCGTAACCACTATGCCACCAGGGCTCCTCCAATGCTCAATAACTTCATCCTAGCCTCTTCTCTTTCTTTCAGATCTGTCCATTTCCCCACCCCCAATCTCCACCATTATCACCAGAGTCCATTGCATGCTCATTCTCACGTGAACTAGTCCAGTAGCCTCCTAATTGTTGTCCATAAGTGGACTCAGCCTGGTGTGCTCACCATTGACAACACCCGGGAGTTTGGCTGCCAACCAGAAGATTGGAGGTTAGAGGTTGGAGTCCACCCAGAGGTTCCTCAAGAAGAAATGCCTGTCAATCTGCTTGCAGAAACCGACCAGTGAAACCCCATGGTACAGTGAACCCTCGTTTATCGCGGTTAATCGGTTCTAGACCCTACCGTGATAAATGAAATTCTGTGAAGTAGGATTCCTTATTTGTAAATCACATATTTTTGTAGTTAGAGCATAGAGGACATGAAAAAACACCCTTTAGTCATCATTACACTCGTATTACCCAATTTATTAAACGAAAAAGGGAAACTACAGTAAAACATTTTGGACGTTACAATGATCATTTATTATTTATTATATTATTTATGGCATCAAGCGTGTACAGTATGAGCCAATCAGTGGCAATAATGACAGAGCATGCGCTGTTACTCAAAAACCGCGATAGAGTGAAGCCGCGGAAGTTGAAGCGCGAAGTGGCGAGGGTTCACTGTACATAGTTCGACTCTGACACACCCATGGCGTCCCTATGATGTGGCGTCAAATTGATAGCACCTGGTTCTTTGTTTTGTTCTTGTTTTCTGGTGCTCCTTCTGCCCACATCTCCTTATTGCTTTTTCTCCATAGCTCTTTCACAAGCTGTTCGCCTTCATTCCCCACGAGACCGTTAAATTCCTTACGAGCAACTATTTGGCTGCTTTGATCAGCCCTCGGCACATCTTTTTACCCTCAAAAGAATTAACAATTGAGTAGCATAGACCCTAGTAGGTAATTGGCCGAATTGTGACGAATCACATAGCAAAGACAACTCAGAATCAAACACACTGCCACCCCGTTGATTCAGATCCATGGCGACCTTACAGGGGGCGGGGCCTGTGCCTGTGAGCCGCTGGGACTGTAACTATTAACGGTAGCAGAAAGACTCATTTTTCTCCCGCCCAGTTGCTGGTGGTTTCCACCTGCTGATCTTACAGTTGGCAGCCCAACTGGCAACCACGAGGCCCCCAGGGCTTCTTTGGTAGCAAGATAGAATTCCCTAAAAAAGAGTAGCATTCACTGAGCACAAACCTATGAGACAGATACTTAGAAGTAGTATTTGCTGAGTGCTTACTAGGGGCGGGGCACTATTTTAGATACTGGGATAGTAAACGTGGAAAGAACCCCACTTGACTGATGCGAAAGTAGAATCAAATAGCTCACTGCTCTTGTAGAAAATGCCCGCCGGAGGTCTAGTTTCCCGTGCAAGGTGAAATAGCTGCCTTGGGGCATGTTTGTGCGACGCTCACGTCCGCCCACAAGCTCTCATTCTTCCAAGGACACTCTCCTGTTCAGAGTCATCCCTCAGGAATCCACAAACCGACCCAACAAGACGGCAGTGGTTGTTCAGTGCCATCTGGCTTATTTTGACTCATGATGACCCTGTGTCAGGTACGCTTGCCAGGTCTTTCTCCCGCTGAGCTACTGCGTGTGCTTGAACTGCCAACCATTTGGTGAGCAAACTAACACTTAACCCTTGTGCCACCAGGGCTCCCTGGTCCTACAATAACCACGGTGACATTTATCCAAGAGAGGGATTTTATGTCACTTCCTGACTATCACCAAGTGAAAAGAATTCATTTGGGGACACTTATCACAAGCCCTGTTTATTAACTATTCCTGAGCGCCTAAAAAAGAATAGGACCATACATTTTCATCTCTAGAATAGACCAGAGAGGTCATCTAGCTCCATCTCTCTGTTCGTCAGTGGTCCTTAACGCTTCTTCATCATGTACCCCTCTGGTATTCTAGAGAACCTATGGCTCCCTTCTCTGAGCAAGGTTTTTAAATATATAAAACATAACATATTTGATGACAAGGGAAACTCATTATAGTGAAGTTACTGAAATATTAGACATGTGAAACATACGCTAAATAACAAGATTTAGTGAGATTTTAGGAACGCTGGGCGCACTGTACTACAAGCATTGGACTGCTAACAACAAGGTCTACGGTTCAAATCCAGCAGCTGCTCTGCAAGAGAAAGATGAACAGACTGCTGTTCGCATAAAGATTCACTGTCGCAGAAATCCTATTGAGGGTTGCTGTGAGACAGAATTCACTTGACGGCAGTGGGTAGCGGTAATTTCATTTTGAAGTCCTGGTGCAGGTTAACTCTATTTGGAGAGATCTGCTATCAGTGTAATGTGATGCCCAAGTAGCCAGAGTGTTTAAAGGCGACAAAATCACAGGTGTTGCCAATATGCAGGTGGTCTGTGGCCTACATTTATACTGGAAGGAAACAGTTCAGTCAAAGTTCAATGACAATGAAGGCATGATCCTTTCCATGGACATCCAAGTGCATGGCCATCTTGGATAACCATAGACTGGACCTTTCATTGGGAACCAGGCTCGGCAGTGTCCCGGCCATTGGAACATCGTCACAGCAGAGAGCTCATGAGATGCCTCCTTCTTAGGTTACACTTCTACAATCATTAAATCGCAAAAATTAGAGTCAGCTCCCAGTGGTGTTAGCACATTAGCTAGTGACCACCTTCAAGCTATTGACCTCTGGGCATCTGTTTCTGCCTAAGGAGAACTATGTGAGGTCACGTGTAAGTATCTTGCCAAGGGAACAGTATGTCGTTGTTGTGAGCCACGATTGAGTTGGCCCTTGGAGACTACACACACAATGGGATTGGACCGTTGAGATCCAGAGGTTTCCTTTGACTGATATTTTGGAAGTGGATCGCCACGCCTTTCTTCCTTCTCTGTCTGATAGTGTGGACACCCCACAAACCCTGCTATGCATCAAACGAGCCCCCCTGGTGGACGAGTGGTGACAAGGAATGGTCGGCAGTCTCCCATACATAAGTACCTAAAACACAGGATTCTCCCCCACGTTGGCTTCAAGAAATTGAAAAATCTTTTGAAGTCTCCACCTATATTTTTTTCTCCAGCTCTACCCAAAGGTGCCACACAAAGAGGGTTCATCATAAAGTTGAAGATGTCTCCACTCCACTGCAATAGTAGTCACCAGGACAGGATGGCTCTGCTACTCTTCTGAACAAAAGCAAAGGATGCTGGGCACTATCTAGCCCACTGCCTGTTCCCATAGAGACACATAAGAGTCTTGCAACAGCCATCATGTTAGAATAAACTTCCTTTCCAAGAGTTGATTCCCCGTGAGGCCTGACCGACCAGTCCTTACTAAGGTCTTGTAGTTTTTGCTTCTAGGTGGTTGACAAGCGCCTGGTCAGAGTGCTCTGTGTCTTGTGGTGAGGGGTTCCGTAGTCGGCAAGTAACCTGCAAACGGATAAGAGCCAATGGGACGGTGCCGTCAGCAATGCCGAGAGAGTGTGCTGCCAAGGACCGACCTCTGGGGAAGAAACCGTGCTCCAGTCGCCCGTGTGTGCCCTGGGCTGGTGAACCAGAGAACCAGGTAACGCTGCCTGCTCTGCCGTGCTGCCAGTTTCATACTTGTCACCTTGTTCCTAATCAATATTGATTTTCACTTTGGAGAACATCTAGCTAATCTCTAAAATGAGTATATATGTCTCCCTATCTCAAGGTTTATATTTGGAAATACTAGACTTTTGGTCATTGGGTCATTGGGTACAAAAATGATACAGGTTTGGGACCTTGGAATGTCACACCAATAACAGAAATTCCAAGATAGGTAGTGTGTTAGTCCAGGTAGACTAGAGAAATAAATTCATAAATGTGCATATGTGTATAAGAGAGAGTTTTATATAAAGGGTAATTGTGTATTAAGAAACCATCCCAACCCAGTCCAGTCTAAGCCCATAAGTCCAATATTAGCCCATATGTCCCATACCAATCTATAAAGTCCTCTTCAAACTCATGAAACACATGCAATGATGCCAAATGCAGGATGATCACAGGCCAGTGGGTAGAAAGTCTTTGGATCCAGTGGCGTTGTAAGCATCTCAGCACAGGCCGGGGTCTCTACATGGCTTCTCCGGCTTCAGAGGTCTGGTTGCATCAGGATAGGTCCATGTGGCTTTTCCAGCTCAGGGCACTAGCCTAGTTCCATGTGTCTTGTCAGCTGCAATGTCTCCCAGGGAGTGAGCCTTGTGTCAGTAGAGAGTCTGTCCCCCACCTCCAAGAAGAAAATCCAGGAATTCCCAGAATTCTCAGGAGAAAGCCATGCCCACACAGAGGCCTCATTGGCTATGATTCGATTGACAGCCTAGACTCCACTCCTTCACTCTTAATCCTCTCAAGTCCCAAATTGACACCAGATTATGTAACTACCACAGGTAGTTTTGGGGGCCATAGGAACAAGAGCAGCCTTCAGGAAAAAGGTGATGATACCTGCTCAGGAATCTCAGAGTTTATATACCAAATGCTGCCTTGCATAATATCACAATAAAAGAATATTTAGGTGAAAATGTAAAGAAATATGTAGCAGTTTATAAAGAAAAACCTAACACATTGTTAAAAGCATGGAGGACAGTTTGTGTTGATGAAAAAAGCTACTCTAGTGGTGAGTGGACAGTCTCGTGGTCGACAGATGTCCAGTCCCTAAGGGAGTCCATGCATAGCCTCTATGGCAATGAAAATGACAGCGGAACCTCTTTTGATGGACCTCGACTAGTTACTTCTGACATTCATATTAGGAAATAAATCAGTGAGCACAAGGAATTTTCAGGACCATGAAACTATTGGAAGTGTGTCAAAGCATCCGGGAACACTGACATAACTGAAGCTGTGCCTCGAGCAGGAAGAGGCATGGGTCAGGGAGGAGAAGTTCATGGCAGTTAATCATCAGGGAAATGATGGTTTCAAAACTAGGTGATAGGATATTACAAACACCTGTTGAAAGGAATCAAGATGTAAGTGAGTGGAAAGATACTCCAGTCATGGGTTGGAGACGTAGCATTCTTAAGATGGCAAAACCAAAAAGCCAAACCCACCGCCCTCGAGTCAGGCTGACCCGCTAGCAACCCTCCAGTCGCCTTATGGGACAGCGTAGAACTGCCCCTGTGGAATTCTGAGACTGTGACTCCTTTCAGAAGTAGAAAGTCTTATCTTTCTCCCGTCGAGCCGCTGGTGGTTTCAAACTGCCAACCTTGTGGTTAGCCGCCCAATGTGTTAGCCAACCTTGTGGTTAGCCGCCCACTATGCCTCTAGGGCTCCTTTGAAGATGGCAGCACTCCCCAGATTGCTCTGTCAAATCAATGCAGTCCCTCTCAGGATCTCTGTTGGCTTCTTTGAAGAAGTTTCAAAGCTGATTCTAAAAGTCATATGGAAATACAGAAGACTTCGAATAGCCAAAATCTTCTTCAAAATGAGCCAAGTTGGAGAACTCACACTTCCCAAGTTATAAGTTCCTACCAAGTGACAGTAATCAAGACAATGTGGTATTAGCAGAGGCTAGACCTAGAGATCAATGGAATAAACAAGAAAGAGTCTAGAAATACAACCATGGAGCCAGGTCAATCGCCTGGGTTCCAATAGAGAAAGAGACTAGCAGGTTCTTCCTGGCTCGGTGGGCAGGGTGTCTGGCCCACAAGCTGTATTCTGACCCTCGCGACTACACCTGCCCCGGGGAGGCAGCTGGTTCCCCTGTGACAGGTCTGTGGCTGCCCTGCCTCTGTGCTGCTCGGAGCGCACCCAACCTTCCTGATCGCACAGGGCCGATAGCATGCTGTGCTTTTGTTCCAGTGTCCTGGGCATTGCATGGGTCGTATCATGAGAGTACAGCAGCCGCTCCACACAGTTTGTCATCAGCACAATGGCTCTGCAGCACGGGACGCCAACTGCGACGACAGAAAGAGGTACTGGCCTGCTCCGGGACGTCCCGCAGTCCCTCTTGCTTCCATCAGTGACTACAATTGCCTGGGGGGAAAAAAAAGAATTCTTTCAGGTTTCTACCCCCTCTCATAAGTGACCATTCCTATTGGGTTACGGCTTCTATGGCCTACCTAAAGAATGAAATAATATGTACTATTTATGCTCATAGTTTATTTTGGTCATAAACATATGGAGAGAGCCAATTCTACAAGCAGAGGAAACCTAAGAAGGGGTAGTGGTCAGATACATATGTAAAGTTGGCTCTTCAAAAAACGCTCACTCTATCAAGTTGAGAAGTTGACGGAGCCTCATGAAATTTCTTGGTGCTTTTTAAATGTTTACTATGCTATTTATTGTTTTTCATGTGTTGGATTAACTGTATTATATCTCTGTGTAGAGATGATTTAGATTAGGATATTGGTAACATGATTTAACAGAGAATAAGGAGTTTACAGGAGAAAGGAGTTTACTGCGCTCTTAAGGGAAGTGGGAGTTAATCGATGCTTTGGGGAGTAAAAGAGCTTTGCCCTGTGCAGTCATTTAGAGAACACACTGCCCATGTTGTGGCTCCACTATCCCAGCGGTCTTGAGCCAGCATTGACCTTGAGGGCAGACTGACCAGAGACTGCAGTTCTGCCGCTCTCGTGTGGCTAATCTTTCTGAGGTTAGTTGTGTAATCTGCAACGTGGGTTCTCCTCACTCATTTGAATTTATGGTCGAGAAGTTTTCATTCATTGCTCAGCAGCCTGGCTCAGACCCGGTGCTCAGTAAGGGGCTGTTTCTTCCTCAGCCCTACCTTGAGTGTTGCTAAAGAAAATGGATGCTCTCCACAGTTGGTTTGCTTCCCACTTTGAGCTTACTGCATTCGATGCAATGGAGAGGCAGTTGCCGTCCCGGTTCCGTACAGCCTGGTTTCACGCCAGAACCATTCTCCGCAAATGGACAATGTTTGAAACAGCTGCCCTCAATCGCAACCTGTCCCCGGCCCGCAGGAACGTCAACGCAGACCCTGGAGGAGGGAGTGGGAATTGAGGGGAACAAGAGACACGAGAAATGGAGACAAGACAGTATTCTGATCAAGTCTCTCTTTATTGAGTGAAAGGTTGCAGCCTATATAGGCCAGGGGAGGGGAAACACCCGTCTCACATGTAAATTAGGCCACTTTGGCAATAGGCCAATCAAGGAGTCCAGGGAGCATGCCCTCAGTAACGGTTTACAGTCTTCAACCAGGTCCGTGAAGTGAAGTCATTTTATGCAAATCAGGTGCAGGCACTGGATATGTAAATAGGGTGAAGACAATCTCCTACCCAATCAAAGGGAAGCAGGATATAGGTGCTTTGTCACACCATGTATGGAAACCCCCTTATCTGTTTCTAGGCAGACTTGAAGGCTAAACTCAGTCCGTCCCAAGGACAGGCTATTCAGAGGGGAGATAACAAAATTACAAAACTATGTCACGTAGGCAGGAACGGAAAAGTACTGCAAGCTCTGACAAAATATAGTGAAGATTGAGCTGAATGGCCCCGGACATCAACCAAGCTGGGTAGTTTCTTGTGTTGCCGAGAAACTCGGAGCCACGCACAAATTGAAATGCAGCATCCAGATGTTTCTCTCTGCATTTACATAGAGATACTTAAAAACACAGATGCATGCCTAGGTTTTGTTTAAAGAAAGCGTACATATTTTTCTGAACTTTGCTTTTTCTACTTAACAAATGTTAAGAGGCATTTTTCACCTAAATGCATAGAGATCATTTCATTTTTGTTGTTATCCAGCCCCACCCCACCACCCCAAAAAAGAAAATAAACTCATTGTCTTCTAGTCAATTCCAGTTCACAGTGACCCAGTAGGACTGAGCAGCACGGCCCCGTAGGGTTTCTGAGACTTTAAATCTTTATAGGAACAAATAGCCTCATCTTACTCCTAAAGAGTGACTGGTGGGTTCGAACCACTGGCATTCTGGTCAGCAGTTCAGTGCATAACCCATTATGGCACTTGGTTTAGTTGATACTATATCATTCGCAGGCTGATAGACATTTGATTGTTCCAATATTTTGCCATGGCAAACATTTCAGTAAACATCCTAGAAAAATTATCTTTGTACACTCAAGTAGGTTACAGGGTAGATGTGATATAAAATCAAATTGATAGACAAACTACCATCAGAACATCTGTACCAACAGAATATGCTAATCCCCACTTTTCATCCACATTCTGTAGGTTTGTTCGTGTGACGAGTGAAACATTGCATCTCATTTTGCTTTGTACTTCTCAAATGACTCTTTATCTGCTTCAGCTGTCTGCGTTGGGTTTGGTGTGAACCTGACCACTTTTCTTGAGCTCAGACGGCACCAGTTCCCAGGCCACCATTCGCTCTCACCTGGTCCATTCCCACAGTCATCTAGCCCATGAGATCCTCTCCCGTCTACTTTCTACACTGCCACTGGAGGGATCTTCCCAGATTCTGATCACACCACCACCACTACAATCCATCTCCCTGGGGGATTAAATCATTTTAGAAGCTTCACTTGCACTTCAGACCTTGACCAATCTTAAAGGGACTGACAACAATTCTTAATGCAGCTTATACAATACTGCAGTCAAGTCCTATCTACCTCTGTAGTCTCTTCCAAGACCTTAACCTTACCTCTGTCCCCTCACCTCTAGTTCCAGCTACACTGCTTTTTGTTTGGCACCTTTCAGAAGCTGTGTGCTCTTCACAGGAGTAGAAAGCCTCATCTTTCTCCCATGAAGAGGCTGGTGGTTTCCAACTGCTGACCTTGTGGTGAGCAGCCCAATTTATAACTCAAAACCACATGCGAAAAAAGTAGGGAAGATTTAGTGGCTGATGATTAGCCCTGGTAGTGCAACAGCTAAGTTCTTGACTCATCACCAGAAGGCAATGGGTTCAAACACAAACAGTGGCTCGGAGCGAGTGACAGAGACCTGGAAATCTGCCCATGAAGAGACCAGAGCCTGGGAATCCAAGGGGGTGGTTTGACCCATCAGATGGCTCTTGAGGAGTCAGGATGGCCCCAACAGCACTGCCAATGACGCTTATCGAACCGGGCTTTAGGAAGAGATGTGGAAGGGTGCCCATTTAACAAAAGTCATAACAGAAGGGAAATTCCCAGGGCTAAATGAGAGAAACCAAGTCCGCTTTCATTTTCTGCACTATTTCTGTTTCCTCCGTTTAACTGTCCCACTTCGATATCTTGATGTTTTTGTTTCATGCTGCAACTTGGCTCACCTGTCTGGTGATTGGCGGGGGAAGGACAGCAATGGTTCTTGGAGCGCGCTGGCGTGGGTTTCTTTTGCAGTTGGTGTTGATCGGTGCTGCCGAGTTGATTTTGACTCAAAGCAGTTCCCTCTGACAGAGGATAACTTCCCCCTAGAGCAGTGGTTCTCCACCTTCCTGATGCCAAGACCCTTTCATACAGTTCCTCGTGGTGGTGACCCCCCAACCATCAGATTATTTTTATTGCTACTTCATAATTGTCATTTTGCTACTGTTATGAATCAGGTGACCCCTTTGAAAGGGTTGTTCGACTTTCAAAGGGGTCTCGACCCACAAGTTGAGAACCACTGCCCTGGAGTTTTGTAGGCTATAATCAGGAGCACGTATCAGGTCTTTTTCCCACAGAGCCACTGGGTGGGTTCAAACTGCTAACCTGTAAGTTGGCAGCAGGCACTTAACTGCCACGCTACCAAAAACCCATACGACCCGATAGGATGGGGTAGAACTGGCCCTGGGAATCTCCAAGACTATAACTGTTTATGGCAGTAGAAAGCCCTGTCTTTCTCCCTCGAATCTGGCTGGTGGTTTAGAACTATTGACCTTGAACATGGCAGCCTGATGTATATCTACTACACCACCAGCGCTCCCTCAGGACTCCTTAAAACAGAAACTGGTGCATTTGAGAAACAAAAGGATTTCATCGTTGCTTGGGCCTGTTTTCCCACAGATCTTTTCTGCCACAAGGAAGCGTTGACTCTGGGCTCCGTAGAGATGGGTCAGGGGTCAAAGTAGAAGCACTTAGGTAAGACGGAAAAATCCCCAGTTACTACCGTAAGCCAAACTCACTGCCATCGAGTCAATTCCAATTCACAACAGGACTTTAGTAGGTGCTTCCAGCACCATATACTGCCACCAAGTCGATTCTGACTGATGGCAGCCAGGGGCACCTGGTGGATTTGAACAGCTGACCTAGTGCTTAACCATCCAATGCTTACACTCCAGAGCTATCAGGGCTCCTTCAGTAAACGCCAGAGGATGTTTTATAGGGGGTAATATTATCAGTGGCCTTGGGTGGTGGATCTGTTTGCCAGTCCCCTCAGCTGGCCCTGAGCAGGGTTCGGGAGGCAGGGCTTCCATTGAAGAATGTCAGTGGGAATTATCCGAGGAGAGTCAGACCATACTGGGACGTGAGGAAGCGCTCAAGGACATAGAAAGCCTGTTCTCAAAGCAGCGATGGCTAAGCTTAATCAGGAGTCAGAATCACCTGAGAAGTTTTCTTGATTCTTGAGCCTCGCCTCAGTGTTGATGGATCGGGCGCTTTGAGAGTGGAATCCCACCGCCATGTCTTTTAAAAGCTGTCACATGCGTGTCACACAGCCAGACAGCTTCGATGACCAGTTGGATCTGGCTGATGGTAGAAACAGTGACTCAGGACAGACGTGCATATGGATGGACTAGGAATGAGAGATGGAGTAAGTCTAGGAAAGACGAGGTTGCTTAATGATTCCGACTGCCTTCCAACTTTCATGCTTTGCATAGATAAGCACGTGTGTCACAGTTGTTTGCATGTGCCTGCACCCAGGCTGTGGCCATCTGGCTCAGCCATAGCTGTCCAAACCCGTAGGATGGCGCCCTCTACTGGATGGAGTTTTTTTTTTTTTAATTTGCCTTCAATAATGAAGCAACTGCAGTACTGTCCTGAGCTTCTTTCTACCCCAGTGCTGGTCTCTAGCTCCCTGTGCCCCTCTCAGCCCTTATGACGAAGAAGCTCAATGACTGTTTCCAAACCCCACTGTGAAGCAGAGGTACGGTTCTATCCGTGAAGGTCACTTGGGCCTGAAATACCAGAAGTTGAGATAACGTATGCAGAGGGAAGGAGTCTTAGTAAGACTGTGAGGACCACGTTGATGTCCTTTCTTCTAATGGGCATCAACTTCTTCTAATGCTCTCTGAAAATGTGTTGGACCTTCATTCAGTAGAAAGTTGATTTCTGCTGAGGGGAATAGCTGAGGGTTGCCCAGTCTCTGTTGGCCATAGAAAGTCAGCTTTGGGCCCCAGGATCCATGTCCACTAGAGAAAACAAATGCTATGCAGCTGGAAGACCACGTGGCAACTCTCCTTCACAAAACAGAGCAGCGGGCAGGCCCCCAGGTGGGCAAACAGCACGTGTTCTGCCGATGGTCTAAACAACAGTTGGAGATGGAATCAGATGGATCCTTTGAAGGAACACCATAGAAAATAGGTTCCCAAACTTACTTGGCTAACCTCCTCCTTTTCAGGGAAAAAAGAAAAATGCTCAGCACACCCTGAGCGATGAAAACTTTTTGTACTATAGGCCATAATCTGGAATAGAGTGTAGAGCCCTGGTGGCGTAGTGGTTATGTGTTGGGCTGCTCACCACAAGGTCAGCTGTTCAAAACCACCAGCAGCTCCTTGGGAGGAAGATAAGACTTTCTACTCCTGTAAAGAGTTAGTCTTGGAAACCCATAGGGGCCGTTCAACCCTGTCCTATAGGGTCGCCATGAGTTGGAATCGACTCGGTGGTGGTGGTGAGTTTGGTTTGAGTTTGGTTTGCAGCCCCCCTGGATTGTTTGAGTACCCAGGGACCGTATCACCCACTTTGGGAAGCACTGTTGTAGAAAATAGGCCTGGCCAACTGCTTCCATTAAGTTACAGCCCAGGAAATCCTCTGGGGCAGTTCTCTGTAGCACATAGCCGTATTTATTTACCATAGGTTGGATTAACTTCACAGCTAACAGGGGTAAAGGGTGTCTGTCTGTCTGTCTATCTATCTATCTATCTATCTATCTATCTATCATCTATCTATCTTTTGGGTTTGAAGTAAGCCCCTAGATGGAATAGCCCTCCAGTGGCTAAGCCACGCATTGCTTCCAACCCTATGTAATACACTTACTTAGAGAAGTTTGGGTTATCACAATATTCTCATTTTACCACATTTCCCTGCTGGCACTGTGCATTAGGCGTTGGGCTGCTAATGCAAGTTGGTGGTTCAAATCCAGCATCAACTCCTGACTCCTCGGGAAAAATGATTGACAGTTTGGGAAACTCTATATCGGGTAGCTATCAGTCAGAATCAACTTGATGGCAGTGGGTTGGGGTACCATACTTCCAGTGGACTTTCAAAACTCTTCAGAAGCCTCTGATAAGAAAACCAAATTGTCCCATCAAACCCTCAGGATCGAGCCCAGTGAATGGGAAGTCATGAGGCCCCTGTCTCCTCTCACTTCTGAGGAGCTGTTTCAGCTTCATTAATCACAGGCGCAGGTGGGGGTGAATCTCGCCATGTTCATTCCAGATTGTGTGGTATGGAGCTGGAGGGGTCAGTTTCTCGGTCTGAGCAGAGGTGTCTGTGACCAGGAGCCCTTCCCTCCGCTGTCGGTACCGGAAGAAGAACAGTCCCAGAGGCAAGGCTCTGCTGGCAAGATGCACCACTTTCCTTTCGCGACTGTGCCGGCGTGAGCACAGTGTGCTGACATCACTTGGAGGGAGGTCGACCCTTTGTGCATTCCCACTGCAGAGCAGCTTAGGTGCCGGGCTGGGCAATCGCTTTGCATTTTCCTCATCTCTCTACTCTCTCATTCCCGTGTGTCTGACACGTAAAAAGAGCCTTACCAGCATTTTTTTTTAAAAAGTATAATGCACTCTTTGTTGTTGGATCAATATGATCAGCAATCACCTGGCAGATCTGTAGCCTTATGTGGGATTCAATGCATTTTTCTGAAGTGGCTTTTTCCAAAAGAGTCCGTCCTGTGTCATGCACCTGTGACTGTTTCCAGAACCTTCCTAGTACATCTGGGGCTAACTCGAGTAGAGTGGAGGTGCCTTCTCACTGGCTTGAAAATAGTCTGTACTTCCGTCCCCAAAACGATCCAATCTTCTATCAGCCTCATGATTGTTCCACCACTTTTGCTTAGCCAGGGACGATGCCAATCCATTTCCTGGTGAACAGGGTTCTGATGTAAGACCTTTTCCATATGTTAAATCCAGAGTAGGGTCAAAGGCTTGATCCGGCCAGAGGTGACCTGCTGCCTCTCCGGTTTTCTGGCTATTTGGTTTCAGACCCACCTTTAGGAGAAACTGCTCGTCGGGGGCCTGTGATGGCTGCTGGCACACCGGCCCTTGGCAGCCCTGCACAGCAGCCTGTGGCCGGGGCTTCCAGGCCCGCAGGGTGGAGTGTGTGCACCGAAGGAGCTGCAGACCTGTGGCGGAGAGGCACTGCGGGTATCAGAAGAAGCCAACTTCCTGGCGGCACTGTCTGGGGCCTTCCTGTGATAGTACGTACCCCACTCAGGTATCACTGGCACCCCCGCTCCCCCGCCGGGTGCCTTGTCCAGCCCAGACCCTCATGGTGCCCCTTCCCCTGCACCACCACTCAGGGGCCGTTCAGAATGGGTTCGGTGGTTTGGGGACATTAGGAAATGAGCTACGTTGATGTGACTGCTAATCCGTGTTCTTCAGAGCAAATATAGTTGTGTTTTTGGTGTGGGTGGCAAGGCTCAGATTTTCATCCTCTAAGGGAGGGGTCCTGTAAACAGCCTTGGGTACCCAGGGAAATGCCCTGAATTGAATGTAAAATGTATATGCATAGTTTGAGCTAATGAGTCCATAGATTCCAAACGTTTTCCAAGGAGTTCCTAACCCTCCCCACCCCACCCCACCCCCAAGCTAAGGACTGCTACTCTACTCTAGCCACGGTGAGGTACATCCGGGGCCAGCAAGGAAAGGCCACTAGCTGACAGGGAGGCCTATGGATTTGTTACTCTCTTCTTCCCATTCTGTGGCCTCCATTTACAGCTCTTGATGAACTCAAATGAATTTAAAAAGATAATCAGGTCGCTGAAGGGTTTCTAAAGCATGTCACTGAGAGGTTGGTAGTTTGAATCCACCTAGAGGTGCTTTGGAAGAAAGGGCTGGTTTCTCCCAAAGGGTGGAAGCCATTGACTCCCAGTGGAGCGCACAGGGCTGCCGCCGGGAGTCAGAATCCCCCCACCCCCAGATGGCGGCTTTGGCTTCTGCTTTGGGTTGGTGTTTCCTGCTCCTGTTTTGTTTGTTGTCTCATGAGCCACCTCTTGTGGATCTTGGTTTCTCTCCTGGCAGGAGACTGCGCAGACACCGCTCACTACTGCCTGTTCGTAAAGCACCTGCACCTCTGTGCCTTCGACCTCTACAAACACAGGTGCTGCCACTCATGCCAAGGAGGATAAGGCTTTGGTGGGACCACCATGCTGCTGTGAAGAGAAAAGAGACCCCTGAAAGCTCACTGCCCCCCAGCTAGCTGGTCCAATCCCATGTATCTCGTTTACAGCCAAACAGTCCACAAATTCTGGAGTCCCCAGGCCATCATGCAAATACACCTCTGATTTAGCAAATGACCTTTCCCTAAGGCAGTTGTTCTTTGTCGTTTCTTAACCTCAACTCTTGGACGCAGTGTAGGCCAAGCCAGAACAGCATGGGCCAGGGCGTCCTCCCATCGGGCAAACTCCGCCATGGGCATCGCCACGTGCTGCTGCTTCCCGGGATGCCCGAGACTGGCACTGAGCAGTCCATCGGCATCACTCTGGGGACTCCAGCAACCGATGGCTTCCTTCTCCCGCTGGCTTTAGAGCGCCAAGTTCGGCCACGTGTGCACTTGAGAAGCGCTGAGCAAGAGTTGTGACCGTCTGGACTCGGGAAGGAAGGCCTGGCTCTGCTTCTGAAGGTCACCACCATCACAACCCCGCGCCATGGCAACCGGCGTCGGGTTGGGTTGTGCTGACCCAGACGGAGCCAGCGTTTGCAGCGCAGCGGGAGGCGGGTACCACCTGTCGCGGGCATCCGCGACAGAAAGCACGTGGTCGGTAGGGCAACCATCTTCCCAATGATGGCACCCTCTGTGGCCAGATGGGGCAGCAGGGCAGTCAAAGGAGTAAGTCAACCTTTCCTACTGAGTTTAAAGTAAGATTCAAAGCTTTCTTTTCAGAGCTGTGAATGGAACTTTCTCTACGCACTACTCTCCTGCATTCAAACAAAACCAAATCCTTATCAGACCTAATTTATGCATCGAATTGTATCCCTATGGATTTTTATTGTGGAAAAAAATATATATCTAAGAAAGTAATCTAATTATGAAGCATGATCGTTTAAAATTATGGTTTACAATAAATGTTTTAGTTAGAACTGATTTTTCCCCCAGTGAATCCGAAAGGAATTAGGCTAGAAGTTAGAATCAGAACTAGAGGGCAGCTTTAGGATTTGGTTTATGAGATGGGAAATGGGATTCGGGGGTAACTTGAGTCCTAAAGTTAGAGTAGGACTGGGCTAGATAAGAACGGCAGTTACATCAGCACGCAGGCTAGCATGGGCTTCAAAGGTTAGCGTGAAGACCAGGTAAGGTTAGGGTTGGGTTGAGGTGGGTTTGGATGGTGGCCAATACTGGTGCAAGAGTGAGTGTCACGGTGGAGGTTACGTTTGGAGTAAACATTGCTGCTGAAGTATCTCCAGGCTAGCATTCAATTGCAAGTTCAGAAGCCGATTTGGTGATGGAAATCCTTCCTTCATATACTACCACCTCCTGGCTTTTGATGGCACATATACACACACACCCTCATAAGTGGGTGCACTTCTTTATTCCATGCCCTCGCTTACTGCGTGTGCACATGCTGTCTGTCTGTAGCCCGTTTGGCAGCAAAATTACCTGTAACAGGTTGTGCTAAACCTAGTCCTTGGCCAATAGTGATAAGTGAACCATGCATTGTGGTTTGGGATTTGTGTGTGATGGAGTCTGTCTACCATGTGCCAAACGCCTGGTCTCTCTTGCCCTCCCTTCTGCCTCCCTGACACTGGGATGAGCACTACTGTAGGTGGAGGGTCTGGTGGTTGGGGGTGTATGGGGAGAAGTGGAGATGCTACACCAGCCCAGGAGTTTTCAGTTATCAGTCACTTTTGTTAAATTAAAAGACGGATCACTTGTAAAATACTTTGTATATATTTATGATATGACTTCAAGGTGCAATATTTTATTTTGTACAGTGTGTAATAAAGATATGGGACATCTATTTTTCTTATTAACAAAATTCCTTATTAAATCGCTTCACCTTTGTATTTAAAGTTGAAAGTTGTTTTTTTTCATTTGGTATTGTTCTTTGGTCCTTTTGTCACCCAAATGGCATGCCTGTGTCCTTTATTTTACTGCTGTTCCCATAACATGAGAGGTACTGCTTCTCTGTCGTTGATGCTTCAGTAATCCTGGAATAAATTTACTTTGATTATTCAGTGACCTTCTTATCTGTGTAATTGATTTCTTGATGTTCCCGTAGCCTTGGGGATTGTCACTTTGGCTGCCCTTGAACACTGTGAATATTGGAGCAACCCTGGTGGGTCCATGCCTGGGACTGTCCATTGTAGTGTGAGTTTCAGTATGCACAGGTGGTCCAGTAAGGGATCGCGCTAACCTTCCCCTGCCCCATTCAATCAGCTATGCTCTGTGGATGATTTTAAAAGAAAGTTGGGTAGAAAGAAAGGGTGGAGAGAATTCCCCACAAAAGCATCCTGAAATAGGCATAGAAGTGGGTAGTAGATAGAAGAGCAGGAGGTGGCCATTCTTTTATTTTTTAATCTTTGTTAGTGTAGGGAGTGATTTTAGATGTCTGCACTGAGAGAATCCCCTTCTCTAACTTTCTATCATTTGCATAGACCCCTGAAGATGATCATGAATATTTATAGGCAATATTCATGTTATTGTTGTAATTCTCTTCACTGACCATGGGCCTTAGATAGCCAAAGTCACTTGTTGAAGACAAAAATATTGCAGTACCTTTTGAGAGTATGTTAACCTCTGACACTGAGCCATACAGAAAATAAGCAAGAAAATATCTCCATTCTCCAATCTCTCCATAGTGTCCTTTTTACGTAAACAAACAAAGATGGCTGACCTCGGTCACTTCCAATAAATCATCTCGTACTGTA